TTCACCTAGAATTGGAAAAATGTTAATATCAGATGTAGGGAATGGAATAGAAAGAAATTACACATTACAAAAATTTATTCTTCAATGTTATGAAGAACAATTAAAAAATAATAAAAATAAAAAAGTAATAATTATTGAACGACATCCTCGTGAAGCAATTGAAGTATTTTGTGAAATAGATAAAACAATGACAGAAAAAGAAAGAGAAGAAATTACGAATAAAATATATTTAATAGAAAAAGAATACCAATTAGAATATAATAAATATAATACATATTGTATTTCAACTGATTATGCAACTCCAAATGTTATAGCAAGAAATATCTTTACAGAATGGGTAAAAAGAGAAAATATAGAAAATGAAACATTTCATGTATTTTTATATGCTAATGAAGAAAATCAAAAGAAAAGAATTATAAAAAGAAATAGAGGAGTTATTTCAGAAATGAATTTTTATTATGTTAATCAAATTAATACTCTTTATAAACATTATTTAAATGAACATTTTACTTCTAAAGAAAATAATGAAGAAACATTATTTATTAAAAAATTACATAAAGATGCAATTATTCCTACAAGAGGATCAGATCAATCAGCAGGTTTTGTTTTATATAGTATTGATGATAATATTATTTATCCACATGATAGATGTTTAATTTCTACAGGAATTGCTGTACAAATCCCACATTCCTGTTATGGTAGAATTGCACCACGTTCATCATTAGCAATTAAATATGGAATTGATATTGGAGGAGGAGTTATTGATGAAGATTATAGAGGAGAAATAAAAGTAATAGTATTTAATCATTCAAATACTATATATAAATGCAAGAAAGGAGATAGAGTTGCTCTACTTATTATTGAAAAAATAAAACAATGTAAAATTGAAGAAGTGAAAGAAATAAGTGAAACAATAAGAGGAGAGAAAGGATTTGGATCAACAGGTAAATGAATAATTTTTGATCTTTTTAATTTCATTTAAAAATACAGTATGGAAAATAAAATAATCATTAGTGGAGGAATTGGGACAGGTAAAACAACAATAATAAAAGCATTAGCAAAATACTTTAATCCAGATGAAGTAGGAATAATAGAAGAACATGTCCGATGGGATGAAATAAATAAAGTACTACAAACAACAAGTAAAGAAAATTCAAATAAAAAGAAACATCTCATTGAAATACTTAAAGAATATTTAAATGATTATGAAGAACAAATAGAAAAGAAACAAAATAAAAGAATACTCCTTATTGAAAGACAACCAATTGAATTAATTGATACATTCTGGGATCCAGAAGAAACAGATGATTTATTAAATACTCAAGAAATCAAAATATTAAAAGAACAAGCAAATAAAATAATTACTAAATATATAATAAAATATGAAGAAGAAGAAGAACAAATAGAAGGAATAATGAGAACAAATGAATTATTAACACCAAAAGCATTAGCATCAGAACTATTTTCTAAATGGTTAACAAGAAACTCTCGTTTATCACGTTCATCAATTTATCTAATTTTTCTTGGTGTTAATGATAAAATAATAACTAAAAGAATGAGCCCTCATCCATTAAAACCAGAGATACGGTATGATATGAATAATTTATATCTGAAACATATTCTGCTAATTATCTAAAATATTATAAAGAATTGAATTAATTTTAATTTTAATCTGTTCCTGTTTTTTCTTTAACAAAATATTTGTTATTACAAATATATTCACATCCTCCTTGAACAGTACATCTCCAGAAACAATCTTGACATACAAGCATAATTGGACATCTATCATTTATATCTTCTGTCCATGGATTTTTCAAATAGGGATGAAGTTGTTTAAATGGTAATAAAGTAGCAGTAAGTGTTACATGTGCATTATCCTTAGTAATTCCATCACAAAATGTTCCATAACCACTTAATCTTTCTGTACTACATAAGAAACAATATGAAGTATTATCTTTAAGTGGAAGTGCATATTGAATTTCAGGATTATAATTATTAACAAATGAAGGATCAAGTTCATTACATTCTAATGAATAAGCAAATTCTTTTGAAGGGGAGAATAAATTATCTAAGCCAGCATTAGTAATATTATAAATAGTATGAGATTTTTCAACAGTAGAGAAAGGTTTATCAGGATAAGGTTTATTATCAATTTGCATTTGTAAAGAAGCAAATAAAGGATTTCTACTACATGTTACTTCATTTGAAGTTCTAGGGAATAAAAACATTAAAGAACTTACATTAGTCATAGCATAAGTAGTATTACATTTTAAACCATTACTTAATGGTTTTTGTGAAAATGCTTGATAATCAACATATTGTGATGGAATAATTAATTCTTTTGTTTGATATTTTTCTATTAATTCATTCATTACACTATCTTTAATATTAAATCCATTAATATTTGTTCTACAATATCTTAAACTTCCATCTGTAATAGTAAAACAACTTTTAATATTTTTTGGAGTGAGAACACCTAATTCATGATTACTATCTTTTTGTAATGACATCATTGATGTAATAAATGTATCTCCAATTTGTGTAAATGAACAATTCTCATGTTTACTATTTAATACTCCATAATAATCTCTTTCTTTCATTTGATCAATTCCAATACTAAGTAC